TAAAGCAAACTTTCCTTTTCTTTCTCTCTAGAGTTATTGTGACTAATTCAAATTGTAATAGTGGTAATATATTAAAAGAATGACATGAAAAATATAAACCTCTTTTTAATAGAATAGTTGAGAAATTGAAACCCATAAATGAATCTTGAACTAATGAATCAAAAAAGTGATTTATCTTGGTGTTCTGATTTATAGTACACATTCAAAATATAAATCCTAATTTCTCTTGACTGAAATGTCCTTTTGTGATTGAGAAATATTGTTCTTTTCATTTTCAACTGATTTTTTAAAGTTTGTAGTCTGATATTTAGTGTTTTATAGAATGTGTAGCATTCCATATGATGTTCTACTGTATTGTTTAAAGTAAACTGAAAAATATAACAAAAGCTTAATACTTTAGGTGATGCGGAGTATTTGAACTTAGTCCACATGGTATATGAATTAAAGGAAGGAGATGTATGAAAACTTCATACATGTGTACATGCTTATTACATATTTAGAAGGCTTCTTTTGCTAGTTTGGCTCAGCTTAAATATTGAAAATAATCTTTTATTTGTTTTTCAAACTTGATAATGCTCAAAGACTTTCAATAGTTAATATGTTGCTTCTTTCTTTTCTCATGTTTATACTGTTGGGATGAAGCTATTTTGTTGCTGATAGACTATAAGTTAATCATTTTCAGCTGGCCTCTAGGGTGAAAATAATATTCAAATGCACAGTTGAATTTTACTACAATATAAGAAAATATGGAGATCCAAATGAAACATAATTACCATATTACTCCCCTAGGTGGGCATAGTTTTAACATTGGTTACTGAGGGATCGAACTGAATTACAGGTCATAAAATAGGTAAAATGCTTCAGAGATGAAGTGTAGTGCTAAATTCTTGTCAAAACACATCACAGATTTATATCATCATGTGATAACTTTGTCCTCCTTACTTCCTTTTTCCCTTCTTAAATATAGACATTCCCTGAGATCACTCCTTTGAGTTATAGATGTTTTCTGTAAATATTTATTTCCTAAGAGAAATTATCTTTTCGTAGTTTAAACTGTCATCTTTAAATTTAGGAGTCTTAAATCTACTTGTCTAGCCCTCACTTTGCACCTAGAATCTAGATCCATATTTCAATGTATCTATGAAACATTTTCATTTGGATATCTTACTGTAACCCCAAGCTCAGTACAGATGCTCCTTGACTTAACGATGAGGTTATGTTCCAGTAAACTTATAGTAAGTTAAAAATATCATGTCAAAACTTCATTTAATACACCTAACCTAATGAACATCATAGTTTAGCTTAGCTACCCTAAACATGCTCAGAATGCTTACATAGCCTTTAGTTGGGCAAAATCACCTAAGACAAAGCCTATTTTATAATAAAGTTTTGAATATCTCATGTAATTTATTGAATACTGTATTGCAAATATCTTCCTAGTCTAAGTCTTCATGGCTTTTTACCCGAATAGATACTGGAGTTGCTGGTAGGGCATAAGGCAGGTTAGATTCCTGTTCTCAGGAAGCTTAAAAGAAATCATGACAATTGCTTATTGCCTTATATGTAAAGTTCAAACTCACTCTATCAAATGGAAACCAACTGTAGTAACTATCTCCATGTTCAGATGTTACTTTCTAGATCACTGTGCTATAGCACACGTAGCATCACTTTCTAATTGTTTGTTTATGTGTCTGTCTCCCTTACTACACTGAGTTATAGGAGATGGAGATGGGAAGGTTATTTTTGTATCACAGTGCCTAGCACAATACCTACCGTATACATCAGTGAATTTTTGTTGGATGGATGAAAGAGCGTTGTAGATACTTTCCCGTACTTTGTCATTTGACTCAAACAATGACTGTGTAAAGTATATAGGAGGTCTTTAAAAATCTCTAACTTTAAAGATTTTCCACAGTTGCTTTTAGTTTGTTTGTCCTTTTTCTTTCTTTTTTTTTTTTTTCTTTTTGTCTTTTTTCGTGACCGGTAACAGGATCACAACCCTCGGTGTCGCGCCCGTACCGCGACCAGCAACAGGATCGCAACCCTCGGTGTCGCGCCCGCACCGCGCTCAGCCAGTGAGCGGACCGGTCTCTATATGGGATCTAAACCCTCGGTGGGAGTGCCGCTGCGCTCCCAAGCGCTGCACTCTACCGAGTGCGCCACCGGGCTGGCCCTTGTTTGTCCTTTTTCTCCTTCCTTTTTCTAACATAAATTGTCATAGGAATCTCTTTATTATCTCCTGAATACCCCATCTTTGTTTTTACCTGTTCTCTGAATGCTTTTTTCCTTCTCTGTCATAGTTTAATATATGTTACCTCTTTTTGAGACCTTCCCCTTCTAACTCTAACCCACATTGATGTGTTGCTTGAAAACTATATAATTTTGCAGTCTGTTATATTGGTCACATTATGCATTTTTATCTGTACTGTCACATTCTTTCACTGTTTAATATGAAGTTTGTAGATGTCCCTGACTTGACTTGTGTAGCTGACTGTTTTTTTCCTATCTTTTTGTCCAAGAATTCTCCAAACATGACAATTCTGTACATACAAGGGTACTTCAAAAAGTTTTAGAAAAAATAGAATTAAAACAGAATATGAATCTTTCCATGAACTTTATGAAGTACCTGGGTATAACAGCACAGATTACTGTTTTTAAAAAGGCAGTTGTGTGGTCATCCATTCTCGTTATTGATTTTTTAAATTATCTCTTGAGTGTCACTGTAATTATAGTATTAAAATTTTATGACTGAATTTAGGCTAGCCAGATCATCAGTCAAACACCAAAAAAAAGACACTTTGGAATATTATAATAGGGACAGATAGGCCATTTCTTTAATCCATATCTTACAATACTAGTAAATTAACTATATTTTACAATAACTTAGAACTAATTTTTTTAGTCTAATGAATTTCATAACTCTGATAATAAATGAAAAAGTTTTCTTGGAGGAAATAGTGTACTTTGAAAAACTCACTGGTAACTACAATATCTAAGTGTTTATATGTTTAAAATAGCAGTTTCACATTGCATAAAGATGATTTAACAGTACTAGCTGTTTTGTCCATAAGTAAATATTGCGTATGGAGGAAAAGAAAATATAGATTTCTGTTAATCTCATTTTTTCCTACTTACATTGGCATCGTTTATTTTATCATTAGAAAAAGAGATAGTAAAAGCCACCAAAATGTTTGTTTTATATTACTATAATTAAGAGACAGGGTGTTTTTCTCACAAATAGCCTACTTATTCTTCTCTTATTACTGTTTTTCCTTTTTAACTCTTGTGTATCTTTTTCTTTTCCCAAATTCTATTTTATCGACTTTTCCTTGTATTTATTCTACATACCCCAACATTTTTTCTAGAATAGATTTATGATGAATTCATGCTCTTTTTATTGGCTGCAATTACTTCATTCTCCTATTGTTCCTACTCCCTCCCTGTTTTAAAAGCCTAAGTTCAATTTGTTCTTTTACTATTTTCCTGGTTGACTCTTTACCCAGGAATTAGAAATACATTGGCTTGATTGTATGGTGAACCATCTGTAGAACCCACCAGGACCTTTCTAATTCTTTCCATTTGTATTTAACTTTTCTTTCCAAGCAAAGGAAGCTGTTAATTTTTTTCTTGAGTGTCTCATTACAATGTAAATTTTGAAATATATTCCAAAAATTTTAGCCCTATCTTAAATTCTTACATCAACAGTAAGTAATTTTCTTTCATATTTTAGGGATTAGAATAAAATTTACTTTTATGCGAGTTAAATTTAATGTCAAAATAGAGCTTTGTGTTTGTGAGTTGGATCTTAGTGTGCCTAACATTTTTAATCTCAATCTCTAGTTGAGTAGCTGAATACAGTAGGTGTTATGTCTGTTGCTTTTCTTGATTTCTAATTGTTATGAATGTGTATAACAGCCTCATGTAGGTCAACTTTCTTAAGCTTCCATTGACTTTTTAAAAATCTGGCTTAGGAAATGGTAAGAGATAAATCACAATTACTTGGGATATTTTTCAAAACACATACCACTAGGGATTCTAATAGTTTATTCTCTTTGCCCTTCTCCCATTGAAAATTCATGGTTATAGGGGCCGGCCCGGTGGCGCACTGCTATAGTGCACCGCTTGGGAGCGTGGTGGCGCTCCCGCCGAGGGTTCGGATCCCACATACAGACCGGTTCCCGCTCACTGGCTGAGCGAGGCGCGGGAGCAACACCTAGGGTTGCGATCCCGTTGCCGGTCCCGGTCCGGTACAGGGGCAACACTGAGGGTTGCGATCCGTTGCCGGACACGGAAAAAGAGAAAAAAAAAAAAAAAGAAAAAGAAAATTCATGGTTATAGTAAATCAATATTATGGAAGGAATCTGAGATAGCATTCAGGTTTGTTAGTTTGTCTTAGTATACAAAAGGAAATTAGCCTGCATAGTACTTTTTTTTTTCCCAAAAAAGTTTTCAAAATTATTCATGGAAAAATTATTCATAATTATTCGTTTGTTTAATACTTTAGAAGAATAAGTCATTTTATCAGCACCACACTCTACCGAGTGAGCCACGGGCCAGCCTCGCAGAATAAGTCATTTTATTACTAGACATAATACATGTAATTTCAAATATGTATTGGGTTTTGTAATATTTCAAATATGTATTGTGTCTAGTAATAAATGATTTATTCTTCTCCTAGAGTGTTAACCAACAACTTCTCTATTTGTCTAAATTGTTAGGAAAACAATCCTGAAAATGGTTTCCTTTTCTTTAAGAAAACATTGAAATCCTAAAGTAGCAAATACGAAAATTAACACAAAAGAGAAATTCTTAATTTTTTTCAGAGTCTTCACTCTTATTTACTTTTGTCTTGGATAACCTTTATAAAATGTATCCTTTTAATAACCAAGTACCCTGGAAGTTACCAGGTTTCACTTGTCTACTTTCTGGTCTGCCTTCAGTATAGGTCCCTTCTTTTCTTCTCTCTTTACTCTTGAATTAATCCTCTACCTACTTCACAGGCCGATTCTTTGATGAAAATGAATCCCCTGTTGATCCGCAGCATGGCTCTAAACTGGCGGATTATAATGGGGATGATGGTAACGTAGGTGAGTATGAGGCAGACAAGCAGGCTGAGCTGGCTTACAATGAGGAAGAAGATGGTGATGGTGGAGAGGAAGACGTCCAAGGTGAGAGTGTGGGCCTGGCTTCCATGCTGTGACGTGAAACCCACCTCTAAGTTTTTGGTTGAATTTGTGTAGAATATACCCCACTTACTAATAGAAGTATAATCTTAATACAAAGAGGTTCTGTGCAATTTTTCAGTTTTATTTTGAAAACTACTTTATGATAGCACTTATAGACCTGTAAATTATTTTATTAATTTTTCTTCATTTTTAGTTATTATCTTATGTGTATTATTTATGCAGTTACAATTTGGAACTCAGAAACCTCAAAAATTTTAGAATTAAGTTGTTTAAAATAATTCTAGACTTTACCTAAGGGCAAATGCTCTCAGAAAATAATTCTTTTCCAATTTCTTATCTGAAAATATATCATTATTCTAGGTTTAAATATTGCCCAGGCAGCTATTTTAATATAAGGAAAGCCACAAAGGGAATGATCTCCTTCACACTGAAGATTATTTCATCACTGATACAGCATAGGAAGGCTCTTTTTGAAACTTTTTCTGAAAGGTTTAAAATTTATATTTAACAGTTTATGATGACTTATCTGTTTTATGTTTAATACACAGATTCAACATATTTCTCTTTTTAACAGTTACTTCTGAGCTTTTAACTAAGGGGAAGTTCAGAATCTACCTGTGTGCATGCAACCCTATCCATGCATGCATATCAGAGTATATTGCTTTACTGCAAGTTTTTAGGCCTGTTTTCTGCCTGTTTATATCATTTAGTAGTATTTGTGGAGTTTTTTCTGTAAAAGTTGATTATGACTTTAGTGTGTAATGTATTAGTTTATTATATGATGCATGAAGTTTTTTTTAATGTAATCTGTTTTGATTTCTTCTGTAGTTCTTTTGAAAGTGATTAAATTTTTAATTAGGTTCATGACAAGAATTGTTTTTATAAAACTCATAAGAAAATATAGGAGTTCTTGAATACTACATTTAGTAGAAAAAGAGAAACTGGAGGCTCTGACTTCCACCTAGGTATCATCTTGATAATACATTCTAGTTTATTGGGGATAGAAGAGGGATTAATAAGCACTAGGGGTTATATAAGGATATATTGACGAGAATTTCTCAATTACTTTTTGGTAATATTGAATACATTGGACTCACTTTTTCTATAATATCCCTTTTTCATAAATTTTACCATTTTTTCTCATTGCTTTTGTGATTTGTTTGGATTATATTTATTTGCAATTATTTATTACATTTTAAGGCCTTTTCATGCATGTACATCATATCACCCTTTAGATAGTAAGCTCTTGGAGGACAGCTATTTTTGTTTATTTTGTCTTCTATTTTGTTTGTATCCTTTTCTGCCTTAATTCCCACTTCCCACAGTACTTCATACATAGGCCCCTCAAATAAATATCATTAACTGATAACTTTATGCTTTTCTCATTGAGTTTTTATTCTTATTACTGTGACTAGGGAAATAACCCTTTAACTTCTGGTCATATAAGCTTGCTTCATTTACACTATAAATATTCTTAAGCGTTTCTGTCATCTCATTGGGTAATTTTGAGGTTTTTATTAAAGCAATTAATTTCAACCATTATTGACAATCATTTCTTATATTTTTGGCTATCCCTTTTTGTGCCCTTCTCCCTCCCCAACCCCTGGTTGTCATTGCCAGTCTTCCATATCAGGTCCCTAGTTCCCTCATGCCGCAGTGCCTTTCCTTTCACAAGAAAATAAATTCATTGATTCGAAAGAAAATAAGGAAATTACCTAAGATGATATCCTCAGTGAAGTAGGAAGGGGGTTGTTTAATTTGGGGGTTTCCTTATTTGCAAGTGAATCTTACTTGAGTTGGTGGTTGCCTTTAACATTTCTTATCCCATTTGGGGGTTCACTAGATGATAGTAGCAGGAGTATAGGGCAGCTGCAAAGGGGACTTATTACAGAGAACAGAAGGATGCAAGATCATCAGTCAGCTCCAGCAAATAAAGAGGGATAAGTTTGGGTGAACTAACTAAAAAGGAATACTGAAGAGACCTCAATAATTTTAAACATGTCTTCAGGGATTTTTTAATGTATAGTATTAAGTGTCCATAAAGTAGGGAGGGGGAATTACAGCTGTTCTCTAATTTACCAACAAGTTGAATTCCAAATGTTTGCTATTAAATGAGAATATGTGGAATTTAAAAGCATTTCTTCATTTTGCCAATGTAGAAATAATGGTTGGGTTCCCAGTACAGTTTGAACTTGTAGCCAAAGCAAGCAGTAAAATAGAGTGGAAAAAACAACATAAGGCTGAGAGTCAAGAGACAGGCTGTGTATTGCTTTTCCAGTCACTTAAACTCTCTGGGTCACAATTTCTTCATCTGGATGTGGGAGTGCTGAAGTAGAATAGATGGTCCTTCTCAGTTCTAAAATTCTGTGAGGTCACATTCACAGTGGAATCACTATACATAACACAAGTATCATGGGAAAATGTTTCAAATTTCAGGATGCCTGGAGCACATCTATTGTCAAACCCAGGAACTAAAGTGGAAACTTTACTTCCACCGTTGAGACTTTATAGCCAAAGATATAAAAAAAAAACCCTGAAGCATGCACTTCTGAAGCACTATTAAGTTTCTCTTGGTAGTGGCTCTTCTCTGCTCTGTCTCTAGTAGTAGAAGGTGTTTTTTCTCAAAGTGTGAGGTCCCTAGAATTAGAAATTCTAGCTGAAGAATAAAGTTCTGGCCTTAGGTAAGTATGCTCTGGCTTTGGTCTCCAAAATTCTGGATTGTGAATTGGAGGCTTTGGCAGCATCTCTGCCAATAGAGAGCCAAAAGATTTCAGCCTTATCTCTGGTACCAGTTCATACATATTGATCACTGGGGTCAACACTACTTGCAGAGTGTTTTCTTGTAGAATTAGGTGGGGCCTGTTTTTTCTGTGTTTTCAACCATGGTTTATTTTGATTTCTAATTCCTGGTTTTCTGAAGCATCCTAAAGGAAATATCATTTTATTTATGTTGGTATAAAAAATTTTTTCCTGACTTCTTCTAGTGACCCACTGAAAAGATTAACTAAATGATTAACTCTGGAAACCCTACACATCTGATGGTAACATATTTTTTAAAATTCATTATCATAGTAAGGAGACGGACATTTGCAAATTCCCTTTACTCTTTAATACCACAGATGTTCTAAATTTGTTTAACAGAATATGAAATGCATAAAAATTACCAAGTCTATCTATGTAAGAAAGCTTAGCATAGTGCTTAAGTACCTGCATTCAGGAGCCAGACTGCCGGGATTTAAATCTTAGCTCCACCACTTACTAGCTCTGTGAGCTTGTGAATTAACTAATCTCTATGCCTTAATTTCCTCAACTGTAAAATAGAAAGAATATAGTTACTTATTTCAACAGTTGGTATGTGGATTAAATGATTTAATATTTGTTCAGCACTCATAACAGGGTTTTTCACACTGTAAGTACTATATAAATCTGTTGAATACAAATCTGTTGAATACAATAATTTTTTAAAAGTAAAAGCAAATTGAGAATTTTTTCCCCTGGGTTGTCTGCTTTTTTTAGAGGATAATTATATTTTGGCCTGTGGATTAACTTGTACTTTTTAGTGAAGCCTCACTGGCTTGTTGGCCCAAGAAGTTCTTACTTGATAGATCTTTCTTTATGCAGGTAGTCCTTTCTTGAATTCTTGAGGGAATTTAGGAATTATTTAATAAATTATGACTGTCTTTATATTTTCTATAATAGTAATTGTACCTGGATGGGCTATTTATACATTTTACTGCTTTCTAAAATGAACCAAAATATTACTTCATATAATTATATTTAGTGGTTATCTGTTATTCTACATCAGACTTGGTTACGTAATTTCATAATACTTTACAGGTAAATGCAAAGAGGTTGTTGGTAGAAACTCAAATTTTGGTAGAATAGCTACACTGAAAATGGACTGTAGTTAATTTTAGTGATAGTTCAATGCAGTATGGTAAAAATCTTATGAAATTCTGAAAAACAACGTGAAGGCACCATGTTTAAACTTTGCTAAGCAGCATAAATTGATAAAAACCAAAAACACTCCTTATGTTTGTAGAGGTCTTTGCAAGTAAACATGGCCTTCGTTTACATTATTTTATTCTGAGGTAAGAAAAACAGTTGTTATCCCTCTTCTACTGAGAAGATAATTAGAGGTCCAAAGAAATGTAGGAACTAGATCATGTATGTTAAATGCCTGAGTCGGGAGTAGATTTCAGTTTTTCTATTTCTCGACTTTTGCCTTTATCTCATTTTCTCTTAAATTTATTTCTTTAAAAATCCCCAAAAGTTATAATATTTTTTTCTTTCAATAACTTTCTTGTTATATTTCTAGAAACTTTCCACTGCTTCATGGTGATTAAGTCTTCACTTAATTACTAAAGTCCTGAAAGATGTGTTTATAGCCATAAGGTGAGGTCCCATAACATGGAACCTAAGGAGTCCTTTCTGGAGAGGTGCCAGTGATTAATCTCTCTTTTAAAACCAAAGATAAATTTTTTGAAGTACAGAGAGTTCTTTGATAAGTTCATTGATTAGCATATTTACGAAATACAAGTGTAAATATGGATATAATTCTAAATGTTACACATAACAGATTTGGGGTTATCACACTTAATGGATTATACTATTAAAGATATGAGATCAGTTTGTTAAGAATATGGTGCAAAGTGGTTGCCTACAATTCTAAATGAGAATTTCTGTACGTTTAACAGGAAAGTTGTGGAAAGGAAAAAGAAAGTTGGCTTGTTTGGCATTTTTGAAAGAACAAAATTTTACAGTAAAAAGCCTGTCAAACCTATAATAATAAATTTCAGAAAGCTATATTATACAAATGAATTTGGATTCCAATGTATACCTCTCTTTAAATTATATAAAATTATATTTTCAGACAATTATAATAGTAACACCTCAGTCTATCAAAAACTAAGCTATTGGGTAACTGTGAACCAGAAAATAACAAAAGTCATTTTTTGGGCTGGCCTGTGGCTCACTCGGGAGAGTGCGGTACTGATAACACAAGGCCACGGGTTCGGATCCCTATATAGGGATGGCTGGTTCGCTCACTGGCTGAGCGTGGCGCTGACAGCACCAAGTCAAGGGTTAAGATCCCCTTACCGGTCATCTTTAAAAAAAAAAAAAAAAAAGTCATTTTTAAGTCTGCAGAGTAGCCAAAAGATATCATTAAAAGCTATGTACTCAAAAAGGAGCATATCTTAGGCTCTGACTGAGGTACTTTTCATTCTTGTTCTAACATAATTATAATACTCTTGAGCAATCTTATTTTGCAACAAAATTAAAAAAGAAGGATTACTATTGGTAAATAAACTGACAGCAGTGAAAGTGACAGCTGATAAGAAGGAGCCAAATAAGTCAAACTGCACAGCAGTATTTGGGGTCATTTAATATAGATACTCAAAGAGGCTTTGAGGATCTTACTATCTAACAATATTATGTAATAATTTCTTTTTGGTAAAGAAAAGGTTAAATTTTGGTTAGTATACTTTATTTAGGAAGTTAGAGTAAGCTATTTGCAGAGAAGCAAAGAAATTCACTAAAATGTTAAATGTTGGGATTATGAGAAACTTATTTTCTTACCTTTTATTTTAAAATTTTTACATTACCAGTATGGATTAAGTTAATAATTAGAAAAAATGTTGGTTTTTAAAGACATGAAAATAAGTACAGAAAGGTTTCTACCAAAAGTCTTAATTTAAAGGAATAAATCATTATTAAAATAATATATTTATATAAGAACATTAACACTCTTCATTGTTTGGGGTTCCTAAAGTTTTGCTAGCTATATCTATCTAGCTCTACTTCTGTCTGCCTGCCTGCCTGTCTATATATCTATCAAAAGGTTTAACAAAATTAAGTAATCTTCCAAAATAATTATAGACTTTTCACTCGTTTAACCAAGCAACTAAGAAATAGAACACTATTTGCAGTAGGTGTAAAATAAAAAGCAGAAAACTACTTTAAGGCTGAGAAAAATTGAGACATTATTTAATTGGATTTCTGCAGTGACTTAAAAAAATAATATTCTTGATGCATAATTATTTCACTTACAGATGATGAAGAACGAGAGCTTCAAATGGATCCTGCAGAGTATGGAAAGCATCGTTTCAATGATGTCCTTTAAGTCCTAAAGGAATACTTCAGAAAACCTAAAGTGCTGTAAAATGGAATCATTTCTACTTCATCATTTTTGACTTTTGTTGTAAACATCAGTTGTATCAGTTGATAAACTGAGATAGACTTAAGGAAAAACTTTGATTGAGGAATGTACCCATGTAAATATGTGAACATTTTCATATTGTATTATCAAAGCAGAGACTTTTTTGGTTATGATACAGTTGAGCCAAAAACAGTTAATCTTTGCATTTAAAGCAAACTAATGTATATTTCACATTTTATTGAGCCTAATTCTTTCCACAGACAGACAAACAGGAGAAAATGGTTGTACAGGTTATATGTTACATATAGCATAACCACAGTGAGAACAGTTATTCAGCTGAAAACTTTTTATATACTAATAGTTTCTTGTTAGTCCAACAGGTGTTCTGTTCTATCTGCTCATTCCATGCTTTTGAAGGAGTTATGCCTAAAATAGTAAAATAAAGGAAGGGAAACTGGAAGCCAAACACCAGGCAATGTGTACAAAATCACCTCTCTACTCCTTTTATTTTACATGAGTGCTGGTGTGTTTTGGTGAATAAACTTTCAGCTGAAGCCTACGGAAGTTGAGATAACCTGCAAATACATAATATTTATGAGTTATACCTAACTTAGTTCTTGAAATTATGGAATGCACAATTGACAATATAATTTCAATTTTTAGTTTTTCAAGTAAAACCAATACTGTTTAACTATAGCGAGCACTAGCTAAAATTTTTATATTTTCAGAATTCAAGTTGGTGAAGATATTCATGATTTAAATGTCAGAATCTGAAAGGGACTAAATCTACTTTGAAATGAATCCATAGTCAGTATTTCAAAGCTTTTCTGGTACTTTTAGTGATCTTATTTGACTAGACTTTTTCAGAATTACTAAGTAAGGAATTTTAACAGGTTTTTATTAATGCACAGATAAATAGAAGTACAGTAAAGTCTACAGCCATTTTATTAAAATAGCTTAAAAGTTTGTAATAAAAGTGAGTCTTTGTAATTACTTAATATTTTAGTTAAGAACCCATTGACCTCATATTTGCTAGACTTACAAAATTATTTAAAATGCATTTGTGTTTTCTGACACTATTCAGTAGAATGTGTAAGCTAGCTAATCCTTGTTTTCTGACATAAAGCACTTTTTTTTTTTTTCCTTTTTGTCTTTTTTCGTGACCGGCAACGGATCGCAACCCTCAGTGTCGCGCCCGTACCGGACCAGGACCGGCAACAGGATCGCAACCCTCGGTGTTGCACCCGCACCTCGCTCAGCCAGTGAGCGGCCGGTCTGTATGTGGGATCCGAACCCTCGGCGGGAGCGCCACCGCACTCCCAAGCGGCGCACTGTAGCAGTGCGCCACCGGGCCGGCCCCATAAAGCACTTTTAAATGTTATCCTGCTCCCCCAATACAAGAGATTTGATCACAAGGGGAAATTTAAAGTGGTTAACCCCTGTTTTTCAGAAGGGCTACTGTTAATTGCACATAAACACGAAATTTTTTTTCCCACATGTATTAAGGTTCCAATCAAAAATCACACTTACAGAGGTAAAGAAATAGGATGTTCACTTGTTGAGGTGCAAAAATTCTTAGACTTCAGTTTGAAATTATTTAATGACAAGGAAAAGATGCAGTAATTTAGAAAAATTATTTTTCTCAGAATATCAAAGTGAACAATTCATGCCTTTGTTATGAATTGGGTCAGGCCTACAATGAACAGGTATGATGGTTCACATGATTTTAAAAATTGAGTTAAAGGGAAGTGATGTACATTTTTGGGGCATTAGAGTGGGGAGCTAAATCTAAAAATACTCCTAGTTAGTAATACTTTATATTTAATACTGTACAATCTTTACAAATGAAAACCATGAAATTACCTGCCTTAGTTCTTTCGTCATAAAAACAATCACTTGGTTATATGGTAGCTGTTACTTACACAGCAAAATTTCTTCAATTGTCAGCCTAGATATTTTATAAACTGAGAAATCTTGGACCAGTTGATAATATTTCTGACTGTACTAATATTTTAGTGCTATAAAATACTATGTGAATGTCTTAAAATTCTGACATTCTACAATCTGTATTAGACATGTTGTTTTTATAATGTTTTACTTCTGCCTTAAGATTTAGGTTTTTTAAATGTATTTTTGCCCTGAATTAAGTGTTAATTTGATGGAAACTCTGCTTTTAAAATCATCACTTACTGGGTTCTAATAAATTAAAAATTAAACTTGTTTCACTGTTTTGCTGATTCTGATACATACACAAACATCACATTCATGTGATGCAAGTAGTTACATTTTAACACTAAAATCTGAGTAAATTTAGCACACATTTTAAGTTAAGCTAGACTAAGAAGACAGAAATTTCTACACTAGGACTGTTTACTGTAGGGCTAATTTATTCAACAAATACTGAATGCCTACTGTGTTACATGCCCAGCGTTGTTATGGGTAGTAAGATAAGTGGATAAGACAGACAAGGTTTTTGCTTTTGCAGAGCTTTCATTCAAGTGAGGGCAGACACTGCACAAGTAAATGAAAAAGGTAATTTTAAATAGTGATAAAGAACTATTAAAAATAAAACAAATTTCCAAGCTTCCAAATAATCAGGTTTTCACTTAACTGAAACACTGAAGTTGTGTGGCTAGAGTGTAAGGAGGAAGAGGGAAATAAATGAGGCTGAAGGGGTATGGAATGAGTAAGATAGGGAGAGCCTTGTAAGTTCAGGTCATTGCTACTGACCCATAAAGCAAACATGTAGAATACAAAACATACATGGAAGTATGATTCCAAGGAAAATGTGAATATGACTTCAAAGTAATTTGTAAAATATGTCACTTTATTTTTTAAAATCTTAAGATTGTATATCTTCTTGACTTCTCATTTGTGTAATCATGTAACAACAAAATTTGCTAGAATATGAGGACAAAGAATCTGTAAAGAAAAAAACAAACGTACCTATGAGGGAGGCAATCACTTCCCATAATGGCTGACCTTGGAAACTTTTTGCTCCCTGTGGCTCCAATGAGACAAACAGTGTGACATTAATACATGTATTACTCAGGTTCTCCAGAGAGGCAGAACCAATGAGATATGTTATAAATATATGAGAGGGAATTTATTAGGGGAATTAGCTCATGCGATTGTAAGAAGTCCCATGATAGGCCGTCTACAAACTGGATGAGGTAGCTTGACTCAGTCCAAGTCTGAAGGCCTCAAAACTGGGGAATCCAGTGATGTCCTTGGTGTAATTCCCAGAACCCAAAAGCTGAAGAATCTTGAGCTCTTATGTTCACGGACAGGAGAGGAGAGTGTATTTCAGCTCCAGTGGATAGAGAGAGATTCACCTTTTTTCTCCATTTTTTTGTTCTCTCCGGCTCCCCAGCAGATTGGATGGTTCCTGCCCACATTGAAGGTGGGTCTTTCCCACCCAGGCCACTCAGGCTCTCATACTAATCTCTGCTGGAAACTCCTCATGAATACATGGAAAAAGATAGCTTTACCAGGTTTCCCAGCATTCCTCAATCTAATCAAGTTGATACCTAGAATTAACCTTCACAATACATGTCCAAAGTGTAGCTTACTGATTAGCATCACATATGGGCCATCAACATTCAGTTCTAATTCGGCTACATCAAGTCCAATCCAGTTTCTTTTTAGACTCTCCTCACTCAGGGTTCCAAATGAAAATTCAACCAACTAACCCCCCTCCCCCCAAAAAAGGGAAATTTTGTGGTCTATGTAAGAAAACTGCATAAAGGCAGGAGTCCCCTGGACTTGAAGACAACTGAAACAAGAACTTGAATGCTGCTGCCAGGACTCTGTTTCACCAGCGTCCATTTCTGCCTTTCTCTACTTGTTAACCTTCATTGTCTCAGACCAGCTCCCCGTCAGAGCTCTAACCACGGCTTCCAGCAGATCATATTTACTTAGTTTTGCTACACAAGAGGGACTGCTCTTCCCTTAGTTTCACTTCAAAAAAATGTGAGGAAAGGGAGACTCTTTCTGGCTATGATGGAGTAACTTGATTAGCCCTCTTGGATTAGTAACAACTATAAAACTGGACAAGATATATCAGGCAACTTTTCAGGCAGCACAAGACTACAATCTCTGAGAGAAGGGAAATTTAGGTAGTGAGCCCCTTTACACCCCTTTTTTGGTGTAAAGAGCCTGGAGTCAGAGCACAGCACAGTGGTTCTGCTAAACTGAAAAGACAGAGATCATAGTGGGGAGTAGCTGAACAGGTGGACTCTATGGAGTGGGGCACCAGAGAAGTGGGAGCTATTCAGAGAGGTGGTCCCAGAAATCCATATAGGGGTTCCTAAAGTTTACGGCTGAGGGCTGGGCTGTACAAGACCACCTGATGCTTACCAGACAGCAGTTGGTACAGGGTTGAGAACAGAATAGAACTACCAGAGGTCAAGAAGTGTTGGTGCAAAAGCAGTGCTAAGGGATGTTGGATTTCTGGGCTTGTCAAAGAGAAGATCTCCTTAAAATTGTGGCATCAGCTAAAACACTAGAAAGGTTTCTCCTCAGGAGTAAACACCACGCCCTGCAGTAAGATCTACTCTCGACTTGCTCTAACAAAGCTGAAAATCAAGCCCTGACAAGATTGGCAAAGGGAAACAGTGTGGAGATTGAGTCCTGTCAAGTTAGAACGCGTGAAATTCCTCAGGCTTTCCATAGATATACACTAACAAAGTATAAAACCAAGTATATACGAGTTTAGGTGATCACTCAGTAATTGAAATGCCTGTTAAAACAAGGATCATCACTTTTTAGAGGAGATAACAGAATCCAGAGTCTCTATAACATTATTCACAATGTCCAATGTTAATAAAATATGACATACAGGCTGGCCGGTTAGCTCCATTGGTTAGAACACAGCCTTGTAACACCCAGGACAAGGGTTCGGATCCCTGTACTGGCCAGACGCCAACCCCCACCCCCCAAAAAACCGACATACAGAGAGCTCGACCCCCCAGGGACGACGGGACAGGCCCAGAGAGCAAAACATTTGGCCGCAGAAATGTTGCTGAAGCGGATCTGGGCCGACCTGTCGCGGTCCTGATAGGCGCCCTTCTGGCAGCCACCAGCAGCCCCGGCGGGCGCCCGGCCCTGGAGTGCCACGTTTTCTGGCATCGCAAAAAATTTGGCTGGGCCTGTGCGGTTCAGAAGTACGGATTCACGGGGATTCTAGCTGGCCGCAGAGTAACGGCTCTGGAGTGATGAATAAGTTGGAGGAAGCAAAGTGACCCTACTGGAACTGAATGGATATATCGGTGGTGCTATCCTAAGGGGTTGGGTTTTGCTTAGCAAAGCTGGGAGCTGCCAACACCGACCCCTGCGGGAATCCTGCCTCCACGTTCCCCGCGTGCGTTTGTCTACACTATTTAGGCCCATCTCGTGGACGAGACCAGGTAGCGCTCAGCAGTTGGGGGTCGGGGCCTTCGCCAACCAAGGCAGGCGAGCTCCAGGGCTGCAAGTCCCTGAGCTGGCTGCTGAGCGGCTGGACCCAGGATGCTTTCCACCTGCACCCGGGCATCACGAAGGAGCTGTTGCGGAGCCAACTCTATCCAGAGATGCTACCCAAGGAGTTCTGTTCCTTTCTGGCGGAGATGAGGATTCTTAAGCAACTATTACGGGCCTGGAAACTTGACTTGGGTTGAAAGAGTACCTATCACCAGATTTAGGGATTGGTTAACTGTTCAGCTATCTGCCCTTCACTGGACGTTAGAGCAGCCAGTAAACTGAAAAGTTCCTTGCACAATGACTGTTACATAGTAGATGTACAAGTCATTGACTTGTGAAAGGCATCCAGAGGTGTTCTCTAGTCTATTGCACCGGCAGACATGAAACCAGCTGGAGGCATTCTTGACTGCTCAAACCCCCAAAACAAGGTGGGATCACATCTGACCAAGCTTCTGTCATTTCCAAATTTTGGAATAGCCACAAGACAAAAATCTGGGAGAGCCTCAGGAAC